CCAGTGCTAACTGCTTTCCACTCGCTGCTCTAATGCAACAGTCGGATTAGAACCCTTAAAGTTTAGCCGCGCATGCTCGACGGATACAAGCCGTTTCATTCTAAAGAGGTTCTCCTTGGACTATAGCCTTAGGCTCGCCATCGCGTCGCGGAAAACCTAGTACTTATTCGTAGCAAGCCTTTGACAATTTGCTGTTATCAAGTTTTTCTTTGTTTTATGCCTTCCTTCACCTTATTTCTTGTTTTTTTCTTGACGATTTCCGTGCTGAATCCTGGCAGGATGCCAAAGCTCCGCTGTAGCAGAGTAAGGGATTTTTCGCCATTGAACCCCTGCTCTGCGAAGGGCCTAATAGTGGAATTGTTCCAATTTCATGTCTTCTAGGTGCCATGGGATCTCGATTATCCCTATGCCTAAGAATTTTATGGCTTTTTTGCCCATTTTGCGGTTCTTTTCCTCAAGATTTCATGGACCCCTGCCTCTAATACTACAACGCGCAACCTGAGTATGGATCAATGTCATTGGGGGAGTGGGAGAAGGGAGGAAGGAAGCTTATTGGTGTAATGTCCCCTTCCCCTCCGGTCCTATCTGATCAATTCCAAAAAACCAGATGCATTTGGTATTGGCAAGCGAATTGTGGTGATTATGAGCTGCGAGAACTAACCTGATGCAGTATCTTGACGATTAACTCGGGAGGGATCTCCAATAAAGGAAATGTTTCACAAGTTGTTGGCTTTTTGAGCGAATTCGTTGTGGCCATTTCAGTCGCAGAACCTTGCTCTGTTTCTAAAATAAAAACGCATGTTCAGCTGTAGCAGTGATGAGCTCAATACTGACATAATGCAACAGTCTCAAGAAAAAAAGAACTTTTCCAAAACTCATTGACAGTTGTTTGAGAACTTTGTTTGGCTTCCAAAATGGTAAAAAAATACTTGTGAAGAGCTTATAACGAAATGAGAATGAAGCATTGGGAAAAACTTCTGACTTTGCGATCACAGCGCAAATCGATAAATTCAGGTCTTCTCATCAGGACCCAACTCACCGAATCTACAAAAAAGTGCCTACAACATTGATTTCTCGTTGTTTTTCCATATTCTTGTTTGTGGTGTGTTTACATAGGAACACACAAGGAAAGTCCTTGTGTAGTGTTTAGCCTAGCTCACACCAGTGCCCAGTTCCCAACTAACACTGCATGGAATAGGCTACTTTGACTTCTTAAGTACTCTTATCAGTTTAATTAACAGGCTCAACGTGCGTTTACTGGTAATCTTGCCGAACGAACGTAATCCATCTAAAGAAACAGGAGCAAAGGTGCTCGCTAGAAGTTGCGATACTTACAGCTCTGCAGTATCCTGAGCGGGTTAACATAGTCCGGATCGACTGAGCACATACTCCATTTTAGCAGAGCCCGTGTGGACATATACGCATGCCGACGGGCTGCGCGCTGTTGTCTAGCCTTATAGGAGCCAATTTTTCAACCTAGACCTTCAAGTGTATGACCACAACGACTGGAGCAAATAGCTATCTACTGCCAATGACGCCGAGATTACGGTTATCCAAATACGAACGCTTTCCGGAGTTCTGATAATTTACCTCCATTATCAAGCGTTTTTCGTTAATTCAAATTATCTATTACTAAGAACATGCGTCGTTAACCAATCTAGTGCTGTTTTAATTCAATTTAATATTGCGCAACGTGCAATATAAAAAATCACCTTGTGGGAAAGCACCTAAAAACTCGCATATGATTGTATTTGAGGGACTAAAAGTTAAGAGCGTATGCGGGGAATATAGCGACCACAGTCTCCGAGACTCTGACAATTTCTAGGTAATTTAACGAAAATGGTGGAATCGTCGATTAAAATAATTTAAATTAGCTTTCTATCAATATAAGACATAAAACGAGGTTCCAGCAAACGAAAGAGAGCTAATAGTTGAACATCTACGGTTGTAACAAATTGTGAACAAATAATTTATGTTTTAATTTGCTAAGAGTGAAAAACGCGGAAATGACATTTTCGATGCGATAGCTCAAAATTTTTTGTACTGCAGCCTACACTTTTTTATCCTACATCAGTTGGTCGCTTTTGTCTCTTCGTCATAAATTCAGTCTGACAAAGCTTCAGATTGCGTTTTACCAATAAGTGTCGAGACTTTGTGAAAGGTTCCTTCTTTCAAATCCTGTATTGAGAAATTCTACCTTAAGATTTTTCTCGAATTGATTGAAGTCGAATGATGGCGCAATCGTTGTCGTTAGCACTACATGAAAGTGCTTTTTACTCAAAGTGATAATTCATACAAGGTGTGCACCAAGCCCCTTTGGAAAAGAGTGTCTCAAAAGAGCTTTTGCATCTGCTTAAGGGTTTTCTGAACGAGCGGTTTCCTTGAGAAAAAGAACTTTTTTGTGTCTTTTGTGTTCAGTGAGTCCACTCTGACGCAATGGTTCCTGACTCAGCGTTGTCCAATGTAATTCGAATCTTGTCGTCGGTAACTTTATTACATTTTCCAAATTTCATTCGGAGAAATCGTCAAGCGGATATGGGCGAGAGATTTGAGATACCTTTCGCAAAATACTTTTTTTACACACTCTCTTCTGAACGGCCACTTTGAATAGAAAGCATCCCTTTGTGAGACTTTTATCCTTTATTTTTAACAAACCGTGCGAAACAACGTGCAGGAAGAATTTCATTGTATTTCATAAAGATTGTGCGTTTTCGATCGAAAATCACTAGCATTAATCGTCAGATGAGTCGATGAGTCCATCATCACATTTATCCCCATCGAAGAGATACTG